GCGAGAAGTAAGTTCCACTCAAACAGCTTCTTCCCGCGAATCACTTCCCTGTGGAACAAACTCCTAAGACTATGTTTCCCTCCCATCACTACAATCTTAACCTATTCAAGTCTAGAGTCAACTGTTATCTTCCCTTTGTATGTGTATGTGTGTGTGCGCGCGTGTATGTCCAGGTGTAGAATAATTTGAGTGTTATTCAACTAGAATCCTGCAAGCTTTATCCTATAATATGTATTTACCTAAAGAGTTTTGCATATCAACGAACGTCGACAGGTCCTAAACGAAGTAGAAGTGAATCTAAGTTGCTATCACAGAAACCTTGGCAACGATCAGTGACATGACACATCGGAGCGAATTCACAGCCAGCAGGAAATTCAATCGATGCTTGCTGGTCTGATGCAAGCAAGATATACACGATATGTATTCCCCGTAGGCGGTCAAAATCATGATCGCCGACCAATGCGGCCCGAATTTAAAGCGTGAGTATGTATAATGGCAAGTCGTTATGTATCATTAAACAATTTATTTTTCTCAAACACGAAAAGAAGGACACCTGTTTCTGTAGCGCTTTGCGTAGCAATTAGCTAGGAGTAATAGCCAAGTGTATAATTATTAACATATGAGGACGCACACAAACACACACGCACACACACGCGTGTGTGTGTTTAAAAGAGGATATAGAATCCTGACAAAGTTTTGAAGAAATATGACAAATAGAAAACTGTTTCCAACACACACACATACATACACATACACACTTCTTTCTTTCGGTTTTGGATCTGATGAAGCCTAGAATGGCGAAACGCGTAATTAAATCTAGTTTCAAAACCATCCTTGATAATGGGTAAAAGAATAGCCGAAATCGCTCCGATATGCTGAACATTTGGACAATTTTTACACACTTTATATCCAGAAATGAAAACACTTATACGAACACAAGAAAAGTTAAATAAAAAGCCTAATCGCAGTACCTTGAAGGATTGTTATCCAAATACGTTCTATATATATATATATATATATATATATATATATATAAAGAAAGAACAGTAAGATATATAATCTGGTGTTCTTAAAGATATTTTTATTTTTACAAAATAGTGCTCAATGTAAATTTGCAGAGCATTAATATTATAAATTAATTGATTTAACATATGGTTTTTCCGTTTCAAAAATGGAAGCTAAAAGCTTCGAATTTAATTTTGTAATTAAAGACATTAGTTCCATTTCATCCTTAAGCAAATTTTGGAGTAACTTATTTTTAAAAATTACTGGGTTTTAAAGGCACTGCAAAAATTCATAATTCACGTTTCCAAGGATACAGAGAAATCCATTCATCCAGACAAGGGGTGGTTGCCTGTTCATTATCGCTGTATTTGTTGTATCAGTTATTAGTTACGTTTTGGTAGGGGTAGGGATGTATTTTTCAATGAATTCTAACATCCGTTAAATGCATGTCGTCTGGATTTTTTAAACAAATTATTGATAACAGCAAATATTATTACGGCATTTTTTCTACTTGTATACTTAAAGATTTTTGGGGGTGTTTAGCTTAGAATACGTTTTATTTAACTACGATTTTAAAAAAATTTACACTTTTAATTTTTAATATACTATATTTCTTTTTAAAACAAGTAAATGTATTAGAATTACTTACAGTATGTAAAATTATTTTCACATCAAGTATAAGTATGTATATTACCAGGTCACAATTTTTTTTTAATTTATATTTAGAAATTATTTAAGTAAAATTTATGACAATGACGGCAAAAATAGCTAATTCCTTTCTCCGATTTAGTAAACTTTTATTTTTTATAAACCTAGTAGTATATAGTTCCCCGTGTAAGTACAAAGGACATGGGTCATTCAATGGCTTACATTTTCTAGCTTTTCATATTAATTTTATTTTACTATAGGTGTTTTATTGGATTCTTTTATGTGCTTGTAGTACTTTGAGAGAGGTGTTTAGTTTAGAATACGTTTTATTTAACTACAATAAAAAAAATATAGTCTATTAAAATTAACAGTGAAAATATTTTAAAGTTGCATTGAAAAATTGTAGTTAAATAAAACGAATTCTAACATAAACATCTTTTAAAATTGTAGTTAAATAAAACGGTTAGAACTGTGTAGCGAAAAAAAAACATATTTTAAATCAATTAATTTATATATATATATATATATATATATATATATATACTAGTAATAATCATATAAGTATAAGAAATTTTACTCGTCCGGAAAACCTTCGGTGTCTTGATTTTTAAATAATCAATCCAATACCAAAGGGGGAAAAAAGGTATAAAGAAAGAACAAAGAACATGTACGTCAGCCGAAAGTAATCGTCTAGCACAAGAAAAAACCCGATACGAGTAAGCAAAATATCTAAATAAAGTGCTCAATACAGTAAGTAGACCAGACCTAGTTAAACCTTAACAGCCAGGCAAACCTACCAAGGTTTCACTTAAGTGGATCGTCAGGGAAGGCTGGCTAAAAAGGCAACGTAAGAACGGAATATATATATATCATATATATTATATATATCCCTTAAACATTATTCTTAGTGGATATCCATATTTGAGTTGACCCTTTCTTTTGTATTTTTAAATAGTATATTTATTATTGTCCACCAGCCTGAATATTCGACTAATTTTTCTTTAATAAGATTTATTGAATATTCAGGACGATAGACGATAATAAATATACTGTTTAAAAATATAAAACACAGATTAAATACACAAATATGGATATTCACTAAAAATATTGTTTAAGTTATAAAAATCTATCATACACATCATAGCCGGCTACACGTTTGCTGAGCGCACCCGTCTGTTGGCGAAGTTAGCTTATCCCTAGATAAAAGAACTGGGAAGGATATGAAAGGAATAGTAATACGAGACCTAAAGATCGTTAGACACGTGAAGCTGAAAGTTGTCGTGCAGTTTTCGTTTCTATGTCTTCGCTGTTTGTATCTACAAATGCTCTGTTTTCTATATTTGTAAGAGTATGTGCGTGCATGTCTGTTTCCTTTTGTGGTGGGACAAATACATTTATTTCTAGAATTAACATTATGAATTTCCGTTATCCTTGACGACCATTTTTATTTACACCTCCCTCAATATATATATATATATATATATATATATATATATATATATATATATATATATATATATAAGCAGCCCATTACAATATTCGATCTACTCCTCCTCTTTTCAATCTTGTAATTTTGATTGCATCTCCAATAATAAGCGAAATCCATATTAATGATTTTTTTTTAACTCGTAAACTGAACCAGTATCCTAGGTGATTCCAGCTTTTATTTATCGAATTAATATACGCTGTTTCCTTTATGAAGTCGGCATTGTAAAAGCCTGTTTTATCACCTTTCCTACTAATAGGAAAGGCACATTGTGATGGCGAAAGATGCCTTCAAAAAGCTAAGCAATGTATTAATTAGGAAAAAGAATTGAAGCAAGTACAAAAATTTAATTATTTGAGAGATGTTTTAGTAGAGGACGGAAAGTGCGACACTGAAATCTGAAGGTGCTTTAGAATAGCAAAAGATGCCTTCCAAAAAACTAAGCAAAGTATTAAGAAACAAAAAAAATCGTTAGAATCAAAGGAATGAGTACTGAACTCTTACGTAATATCAGACCCCCATATGGCAGTGAATGCTGAACAATCTCCTCACAGATAAAGAAGAGACTTGAAACAACAGAAATATGGTTCTTAATATATATCAATCAATTAAGCATCAATTTATATAATGCTATATATCAATCAATTCAGCATCAATTTATATAATGCATTTTAATGCTTGCAACCTTGTATAATAATTTTCTCTGGTTAGTTTTATTGATTGTTAGGTTTCCTAACAGGTTTTTCGAGTTTTTTTTTTCAACATGTTTTTCTTCTTTTACAGAACTAACGTTATGGGAGAATGGAAATTCATGGAAATATAAGCATGGCTTATATAAAGCCGAAAGAATAAACCGAACACGCAAATACGCAACAAAAATACACACAAATTTACGGGTATATATACATACATATATATATATATATATATATATATATATATTTCCCACGTTCAAATTTACCTACGTGGGTGTGTGGAAACAACTATTACACATATACTCTTATTTCACCTTAGATACACTCGCATACGTACCTTAGTGTATACATCCGCAAATTGGGCATATCGTTGTTCCCAGGTATTTTCAGACAAACAACACACGCTTACAGAAATAGACTCATATGCGTAAGTACACATACCTCCCAGAATAGCAATGCAATTAAATGCATGTTACATATTTAGATATGCTTTAAAATAAAACCAGCTGCTGAAAGTATATATATATATATATATATATATATATATATATATATATATAGAGAGAGAGAGAGAGAGAGGTATATAAAGAAGTCAAAACATTGTGGAAAATGCCCTTATTTATAGAAATATATGCGAGATTCGGTCAGCTAAACGCGTTATTTTTGAAGAAGAAATTGTCACACAAATATATATAGACATATATATTCGGTCGAAAATCTTAATTAGAGAAAGGACATGAGTGAATATAGATGTATTTATACGCGTCTCTCAGTATGAACCAATGTGGGAATGAATACGCCTAATAATTCGTTCATATAAACAAATTAAGGCGGAGAGAGACACTTAAATACACGAGTAAATATGAAAAGGATAAATATTCAAGCAAGCAGAAATTCTTAAAGCTCGCTATTGCTAACTAAACGTAGATCTAGCCCAAAGCTACACGTATAAGGTGCCAAGTCAGGATGGAACTTACTAGCCAGTAATACAGATCTCTGTGGCCATCTTGCTGACTATTACCCCAAGATAAGACTAATTCTAATTAGTTAGTTACTTAGACAAAGGGATCAACTCATTATATATATATATATATATATATATATATATATAGAGAGAGAGAGAGAGAGAGAGATTGATTGCTGTCTCGGAATCAAAAATGCCGGTTATGGTGCCTTTTGCAAAAAGACTGGCGGACATTGGTACGTCACAAGCTCATAGGGATCTCGTGGAGGATCGTTACCGTGAACTCCGCAGACCCCGGAGAGTAAAGTTCTTTGTTAACGGAGACCGATATTTTAAGGGTAAAAAACTTTTTATAACGCCAAATAGGTATTTCAACTTTAATGACCTTTTAAATGACTTGACTAAAAAACTACCACAGAATGTTTACCTACCGTACGGTGTCCGGCAGATCTTCACTCCACTGGCTGGCGAGAATATCAAAAACATTGAAGAGTTACAAGATGGGAAATCGTATGTGTGTGCCGGATTTGAACCTTTTAAAGCTGTCAAATATGGAAACTTTGAACTGGAGCCATGGTCAATAGGTAAGATTACTTTTGCGTTCTCATTGTTTCCTAGATCTTTTTTTGTTTCTTGACACATAAAACTTATTACTTGTATCAGACATAACACAATTATATATATATATATATATATATATATATATATATATATATATATATATATATATTAGAAAACAGACAACCTTAAGGGGTTCATTGATTATATTTTATTTCCCAGAAAGGTGTTTTTTCCTGGTTCCTCAGATCACATTTCCAAGCATAAAAAATGGTTTTAAATTATGCTATTTTTATGCTTGAAATGTAATCTGAGGAACCAGGAAAGAACCACCTTCCCGTGGAAATAAAATATAATCAATGGACCCTTAAGTTTGTCTGTTTTCTAATTAAATTAATACTTGCTCTGGTTTGACATTGAGCTCTCTGGATTACATACTCCTTGTGATTATCCATACGGATTACCAAACTTTTCATTACCTAACTATATATATATATATATATATATATATATATATATATATATATATATATATATGAAAAACGAAATTGCGACTTTAAAATCTTTCTTCAACTTAGTCAAAAGTCTAACATATAATAAATATTAATCTTGATGCCAAAATTGTTACCTTTTTGTTGGCTTTTTATTCCTCAAATTTTATTAAGAGGTCTAAATCTATGCACACACACACACACACACACACATATATATAAATATATCTGGATTCTGTATCCTATTTCATACCCATATTTTTGACAAGAAAAACGCAAGGACAGACCTGAAATATATTAATCTTTTACTTTCAATCCATTCTGAAACACTGGATAAGGACTGACCTTAAATTCATTTCAGAAAGGGCTATTTTATTTTTTCATTCATTCCGAGTAACGTCAGTTTAATGGGAAAAGTATTAACGATTTCATATTTCAACACACACACACTTCTTTTTTTCGTATTTGATCGGATGAATCCGAGTCAGGGCGAAATGCGGTAATCTAGTTTCAATGAAGACATTTTCCATTTGCCATATTCTTCAAACTTTGTCTGAATTCTGTATCTTATTTTACACCACATATATATATATATATATATATATATATATATATATATATATATATATATATATATATATATTATATAAAACCAAAATATTGGTACAACTGTCAGAAAGCCTGTCAATTAACCAAAAAAAATTAATAATGAAAAGAAAAACTAACAACGAGTAAAGCAAAAACCAGGGAAACAAAAAAACAATATAAGAAAACGGGAAAATAAACACAATCAAAGAAAAAAGACCAAAAGACAGGCACCTACCTAAACAGTAACAGATTGCTTCATGTCGACGTTACCAAGACAGAGCAATTACGCTTCCCAGCGTTACGTTATATAAGATATATATGAGAGATAAGATCTTCAAGCGATCAAAACACTATATATATATATATATATATATATATATGCGCAAAAACTTAACAATGAAGCGTGCATCCCCATATTCGGATCAGTGTAACAGAATGTAAGTTACATCTATAATATAATGATTAATATATACATATATATATAGATACATAGTGTTCTGGTCGCCTGAAGATCGCAGTAATGTGAAACTTAAGTACCGATCGGGACCTTATCCTTATATATATATATATATATATATATATATATATTCTTGCCGTAATTTCCAAACTTAAATCGAGGACAATTTTCAATTTTTAAATTCCCTATAATGAATATTTCATGACCACATTCACACACACATACATAAACACATTCCCACACACATACATCAACACACACGCAGTGAGTGAAAAAAAAACCGAATAGTAAGCCTATATATGAATTCATGTATACCTTTTAGATCCATATACAGGTTTTACTTCATTTCTTCATTTCTTTAAATTCAGTCACTCTTGTTCTAGTTATAGATTCATTGCAGAAAATAGATTTATTTATAATCAAATTTGAATTCTTGAATAAAAACATTTTGTATTTTATAACCGCCATTTCATTTTATTTATCATTCTTTCTTTTCTACCTGGGTAACTAATTGACAGTTCAAAGAAACACCGTCATTTTCAAACAACCTACTTGATATTATGACAAGCAGTTTTTGTTGTGAGTTCCATTCTCAGAAATTATCCTCAAATTATTGTGGCCTTGTGCCAAAAAAATCTCCACTTAGAAAATATCTATATTACTTATATATGTTCGTTTTATTTATGCCTGAGTGATTGTTCACCGTTGTGTATTGGTTTTTCTTAAACAATAAAACCTGTTGTTTTTTATGGTTGATAAAATAATATACATGTTTATGGCTGATAACAAAAATAAGTTCATCGTGTTCATTCAACCATTGTTTGTTTTTATGAGATGATAGTGAATCGAAAAACGTCATTCATCGCAGTTTCTTGACGTCAAATTTGTTATATATGTTAAAAAAAATCAAAAGAACTTGCAGTGTAAAAAAAGGCACGCGAATGGTTGTGATGGTAATTAAGCGTAGTACAGCTAAAAGCCACATCTTCAAGATTCCAAACATGTTTTTGAGGATGAAACTGTCATCCAACAGTTATATATATATATATATATATATATATATATATATATATAAACCATATATATATATATATATATATAACCTCGATGTGGTGTAATGGTAATCAATTACCACTGAGTAGTAAGTTCGATCCTCACTGGGTACCCAATACTTTCGGCCTTGTACCACATCTAAGCCGGGCTTAGAAAATCACTATATATATATATATATATATATATATATATATATATATATATATATATATATATATATATATATATATATTATTTATACTCAAGCTAGGTAATAAAGCCACAAGATACAAGGGGTTACCGAGTGTGAAAAGAATAAAAAGCAAAACATTATTAAGGGGCGAGAGCAATAAAAAAAAAGATGAATCAAGAAAACAGTAGATAATTTTCTATTTTCCCTGTTTTTCAGTTTTAATCTCTGGTCTGTACAAATATTTATCTGGGAGACAATTTGATGATGTTTGCAAACATGTACTCTTGTTTTTTAATCGAGTTCATTCCTAGCAACTCTTTCAATTTATATGTGTTTTATGTTCAGCCAAAAACTGAAAATAATCTGGAATGGTAACTTGATTTTTGGATTAATATGGGAGAAGTGCCGCCAGCAGAGGTCGCCAAAGATCACCATATGTTGTTAATTTAGGTCAAAACCATTTCCGGCCAAACTGTAAAAAGGAAGAAAAGTGCTATATGCTGCACTGATTTCTGCAAATTATTTAAAATTCCTGGGGGATGTTTTAGATTCTTTGCTAATGTATTTATGATTATAAAGTTCTTTAATGAAAGGTTTGTATATTCCTTTGGATAGGTCGAAAGTGACTATGGAAAAGTATGGTTTGTCTTTTTTGGTCCACATGAAGCCATCATGAAATAAGATGGGTTTCTGGGATTGTTTGGTGATGTTAGTCTCCTTGTCAGTGATGGTGTAACAATTTATGGCCAGGTTTGTAGAAGCTACTAGTAGGTCTTCTAGTAGGTCGACAAGTAGAAATTAGACACGTCGAATTGCATAAAGGTGCATTCATTTTTTATTTTAGAGAACCAATTGATGGCATCTTTTGTATTCCTCCATTGATTGATCCCTGTAGCGTTCCTAACCTATTTGAAGGCTTGCTGATCTTCCCTTTGTTGCTTTTTGTAGGTATATGTGTAACTATAAATATATATATATATATATATATATATATATATATATATATATATGAAAAGTGTGGCCTGACGATTGCGTCTAGCGTGAAACAGCCTGTCGCCTCTAAGTGTTGACTTCAATGTTCACTTTCATATCTATCTCTCTATCTATATCTATATCTATATATGCAATTTATATATATTATTTATATATTATATTTGCGCGGTATTTATTGGAAAGCGCTCAATATCAGAGATAGAGCTAACATATTTAGTCAGAGTTTGTCTGACGATCGCACAAAGCGTGAAACCCAGGGTTACAAACTCACATCAATCCAACTAAATCTCTCTCTCTCTCTGTCTCTCTCTCTCTATATATATATATGTGTGTGTGTGTGTGTGTGTGTGTGTGTAAATGAATGCGAGCTTTATTTGTGGTAGACGTTCAAAAGGTTGTTGGACCTGACTGGACTCAACGATTTTTCTTGTACTGTATACTGATCCGAATCTGATGTTGTCTAGTAGTGTTCAATTTCATTCTACTTGGTGTTCTCGTGATGTGATTCCAAAGCAATATCATTGCTCTTTGGACTTAATCACATTTTACTTTATGCCAGTAACATCAATTTATGAACATTTTTCGTATCCAGAGCAGAAGCTGCTCATTAATATAAAGTAAATTATTTATTAGATTTGTAAGATTATATTACAAGACACCACGAAACAAACAAACAAACAAACAAAAAACAAAAAAAAAAAAAAAAATAATAAAACAGTTGAAGTTTACTTTCATTTAATGATTAAAAATAAATAATATCAACTCAAGAGATCCTGTCTGTTGATTTTCGGAACCTCACCTATCAGTATGTGAAAACTGAGCGATTTATATGTAATAATATCACTTCATTTGGTATGATTGCATAGAAACGATTTATTCTCTATTTTTGATCACCTTTCCATTTGGTATTAAATTTTGCATGTGTCCGTGCTTATCTTATCGCGTATTTTTGTACTTAACTATAGACAAAGCTATTTCATGTGGACATACGCCATATTCATTAATTATAGAAGCTAGAACCAATCTTGATTCATTACCATTTTAAAAAAATAATAAAAAAAATGATACAATTGATAACTAGTGTCATTCTCTCGTAACTCAAACGAAATCGTTCATCTCAAACGGCAGTTTATTCTCAAGGCCAAAACCATTGCATTCAAATTTTTTAAGGTTATGCTAATGGAAATATTATGATAATGATGACCTTATAAGGAAACATTCTGCATTCATTGTTCAAATTGGTAGGTTACATCAGTTAAAGCGTTGTTTCCA